ATCATTAAAATGAAAATAAAAACTAATTATAAAAACGCTTGAAGCGCGTTTTATTTTTAGATAGTTATACTATGAATTTTAAAAAGTGAAACCTCGAAATACAACTGACACAAATGTATTTTAATGTATAAAATATACATAAAAATGTATTTTATAAGTAAAATACGTTAAATATAATTATAAATTGTAAAATATGATTCTAAAATAAGATACGTACCAGAATTATAATGTATTACTCATTCGAAGTTGGAAATACTAAGGAGGGATGCTATCACAACATCGCAAATTTTGAATCGTTTAGAATGAAAATAACTTACTATTAGAATGCAATAAATTTAACCAGTAAAAAACTATACCCTCCATCAGAGTAGCTGCATGTCTTAATTTATCTCTGCCATTTTACGTACTTACGGCATCAATATTTCTTTTTCCTTTTGACAAATGCTGCACAATGTACGATTCAAATGTTATGCACTATCACACATCGAAAATTTAACTATATCACTTTTGTATAAACCATTATAAACCTAAAAGTACTAGCGACTGACGTGAATCACTTTTCTTTGATCCCTTTCACTTGTATGCCTGTTTATACAAGTTCATCTGTTTTCTGCACGCATTTACTTGTTTTGAAAATAAACAAAAAAGGAGCGTTACTAATTAGACAATCCTATTGATAACGTGTAAATTTTCTAATTCAAAAACTCAAATGACTTAAAGTTACATTAAGAAACATAATTTGTAAAATGGTTTCCCAAAAGTGTCAACATTACTATATTTCTATTACTCCTAGTTTATTACAAACGTAAAAAAATTGATATGCTGTGGATGGTATCGGATGGTATTTATTTAAAAGAATGAGAAAACCACTTTTGGCACCAAAAATTGACTTAAATTATTTACATGTTCTGGGAAATAATATTCTAAACTTTCGAAACGGAATTCTCACACCAATATCTTTGTTACTCACTTGACCGATGATAAAAGTTTATAAATAGTCCATTGACTGTGATACTGAATTTTTATTTGACGTAAAAAACTTGAAGTCCCAAAATTAATGCTAAGCGACGTGTTGTGCGCTAGTATCAGGAACACACGTCCGTTTTTTTGTTATATCACAATTGCTATGATAAATAGGACTGCGAATGTTTTTTCATCTAAAAGTGCATGCTTTGAGGTAAAATTTGAGTCCAGGTGTGCAATAGCAGCTGAGTAATACGTGGTTGAAAATCGTAAAAAATGTATTTTTTCAATCTTGAGGAATTTTTATCCAAAATATATGAGGTTTAGGTACATCCATCTCAATTGGTTTTTTGTTCGAAATGTGCCAAAGAATGTTAACAAATTTTTTTCAAAGCAAAAATTCGAATTTTTCAATTAGCTACTAAAATTTATTAATAACAATTGAACGGTGAAGATTCAAATGATCCACCCTTGCTTATCGTGTTCAGAGGGTCAAAATGCATTGGATTAAATAGGGTGGATCCGTGGACTTCGATTAGCAACGCACACATCCGGGTGGACCTACACTATTAATTTAACGGAGAAATTTTGTTTTTCTTTTTATTTGAAGGGGGGAGGGGGGAAAATCATGTTGTTAAGGTTATTATTTACCATTCTATTTTAATCTTAATAAATTTCTTTACAAATTTGAAGAATTTTCTATTTCTAAGGAATATCGAATAATTTTATTAGTCAATAAGCTAATAGACTAATAACTGTTTTTTTTTAATATAGTAATAGTACATTGAAACGTTTTTGGAAAGTTTTTTGTACAAACATTTTAAGGTTAGACATAGGCTTTATTTATTGTGAGGTCCATAAAGCATATATTTGATAACTAATTTTTTCATGGATGAATTAAGTGAAATTTTTGCCGAAATACAATTGCTTACGTCTGTAGTAGTGAAAAATTTATCGTTAGGATGTAAAGTTACAATAATGTGAGTATGGGGTAGTCCTCTCATTTTAAATTCGATTATGTAAACGTAAGAAACAACTTTTCCAAAAGTATTTTGTTTGCTTACATTATCTATAATGCATTTTCGTTTTGTATAAAATAATTTAACAGTGATATTCGGTGTGTCATAAGAAGTGGTACCTTTAAAAATTTTTTCCAAAACTTTCTGTATTTTTTTACATTTTAGATTACATGTAACAGTTATGAACAAATTAGGTTTTTAAATTTTGCATTATGGCCATCGTATCTTGGTAATATTTTAGCATATACCTTGAACACGTAATGTATGTTAAAGGTATACTGAAAACGTTTTCTAATTTTTTATTTTGAAAATTTTTTGAATTATTTGATGCAGTACGTATCATATGATTCATTAGACCCTAATAGCATTCAGTCTTAAATATTTTTTGATTATTACAAAAAAAATATTACCGCATTGCTTTTTATTAT